TACAGGCACGACAATTATCCGACACATTCTCCATCCACCATTGGACGACCGACACGAGATCATGATTTGATTTGCCAACGGAAATTTTCGCAATATCATTGGACGAGGGGGCATTGTCATTGGCACAACATGTAGCGAACATGTAACATGTGCGCGATCTTGTTGGTTAAAAACATCTAGCCAAGCGGTTTCGTAAGAAAACTGCCAACCGCCGCACTATAATAGGATGGAAGGAGTACCGACGAAACAAACCATCCAAGACTCGTTCCGCGGTGCATCGACACGCAGGACGTACTCGACGTAACAACGCCAATTCGCTGAGTACTGTCACACTGTCAAACATGGGCTTGATCCAGCATCTGCCACCACGGACGTCTACATCGACTTTTTCACCACCAGTACACGCTTGGGCGCAAAGCACGTACCATCGATTCCGCAAAGACAGCGCTGGTTGCGTTCTTTAAGGAACACAACATTGAACCCAATCCAGCAGAATCAACAATCACGAAGCAATATGTCGCAGGCCTACAGAAGTACAACCGACAGAATAACGTTGACGAAGAGAAGAAGGCTCACCCACTGTCGATACATGAACTATCGACGGTGATGAACGGATTTGTCACCATGAATCCCTTCGTCGGGGCTTTGTTTGGTTTTTGTTTTCCTGTTGCTACCTCGGCTGTTTTCGCATGGGTGAAATGCTGGCCCTGAAATGGAACGGGTGGCCCTTGGAAAGTCGCCGAGTGGCTCGTTCGTGTCTATTCGGCTACGGTGGCACAAAAAGGCCAGTGTGGAAAAGGAATGCCAAGTTTACCACATACTCAACAAGGACGCATTCGTGCTTGTGTGTGTGGTTTCTACAACGACTACATCGAGAAGCTTGCACACGCCATGATGCAAAGGAATCTTTGCGTATGAACTCGTAAACCCTTGATACCAGGCTTCAAACTGTTGGTAGGATTGGTACTTGCTAAAAGCCGTCGCCAAGGCACACCGCTCAGAGTACTTCTTCCGGTCGAGGCGAATCATTTCCTTGGTGCAGTCTTTCAGCGCACACACCAAGCCGACAGCCGGGTCGGCAACAAACCACTGCTGCCAGGCCTCCTGTGCTGACCGTGCCGTTCGAATTGCCTTCTGGGCAATGAACTCGTCCATCGAGCGCTGCTTCGTCGCTCTTGCAGTTGCTAGTTGTACGAACGTGTGCTGCTGCAAGTTCTTGGCTAACACTTGACCTAGGTCATCAACGGTAAACGGAAGGCCACCTTGCACAGTACTGGCCCCTGCCAAGCCATTTGCGTTTCGCCGCTGCCGGAACGCAGCAGGCGTCTTGGGTCAATGTCATTCCTGATGCTCTGTTTGATGAGATACTTACAACAGGTCTTGGCATCAGCCCAACGACACCACGCCATGAGCTCTCGGAAATTGAATCGACGCTCCATCGACACGAACACACGGTAAAACGAACCACCCCGGCGCAAGCAGTGCAGTGATATATTGGTAGGTAGGTCAGGGGTCCTTTCAACGATGTCACCCAAGGTCTTCCGCACGACCACTTGGTCAAGGCTCCGGCTCCAGTCTACCTTTGGAACCCCGTGTCTCTGCAACACGTAGCTCAGAAACACAAAGGTATTCGTCCCCATGTTCAAACACGAGCTCCGAAGCTTCGTGATGTACTCTTCGTAGAACACACACACGCGCAGGCAAGTGAAGGATGCCTCATCGACCAGATGGTACACTTGGAAATCTTCTTCTACGGTTGCCTTTTTGTGCCAGCGCAGCCTTACGGCAAGGTATCGGCCTTTGTCGTCCGTGACGGGCTGAACGTCATTCTAGCGCAGGGCAAGGACTTCGCCCATTCGGAAGCAGCCGAGGTAGCCAACGGCCAGCAGAAGACGGTACATTGCACCAACAAATGGGTGCAGGCCGGCAAGTGCGTTCATGAGCGTTGATAATTCGTACACTGATAAAGTGTGGGCCTTCTTTTCCTCATCGACGTTGTTCTGTTTGTTGTACTTCTGTAGGCCAACGATATACCGACGCGTGGTTGAGTCCTGCGCTGGGCTGGGATTCACGCCAAGTGCAGTGAAGAAAGCCACAAGCGCTG